ATCGCCGGGTTGCATTTGATATTGCTTTCTGAAACTTAGCAAATACGATGCTATTCAAAGACAAACATTGTGCTTGGGAGGATCTGGATTTTCACTGTGATGAGCAGACACATGCCCTTGGTGTGATCGGTGTAAATGCCAAAGTTTGTTTGTTTTTCCGCTCGTTTCTTTTGTGCTTGGGCTCCCATGACTACAAGTGCACTATACAGGGCTACTAGCATACTGAGTAGGGCAGACGAGCCCCTACCATGGCGCTCCCAGGGAGTTTCGGCAGCGCAGTGTGACGTTGCGGCGGCGGCGGCGGCGGCAACGGATGGATATCCGCAAAGACCAAATGGAAGCAATCCTGGTCTGCCACGACGGCGGTCGTCAGCTCTGACTCAGGTTGGGCTGACGCGGGTGTCGACATTGCACTGAGCGGGCGTAGACAGGCTGTGGGCGCCGGAGGCCGTTGATGTTGGAGAGAGCGGAAGGGTGCCTGAAGATCTTGCTGCTTTGAGCCAAGATGGCGGCGAGCGACTAGATGCAGGCGACCCAACCGTCGTGGTGCAATGACACTCTTCCCATCCTTCTGCCACCGTTCCCACGGCGTTGGAGTCACGCCACCACGGCTTCTTATCAGCAGTCCTGACTTATTCGACTCGCGTGCCCGGAGACATTCCAGGGCCCGGCTTCCGCTGAGAGGCATCCCTGCCGACCCGGCCTCGTCGGCTTGGAAGCACCAACGACGGGCGGTTCCGACTAGCATTGCGGCTGCATGACGCCTGTTGTACGCGTCGATTGAGAGCAGGCCACTGTGTGCAAGAGAGCGTATCTGGGCCGAGGCGTGGAAATCAGGTTGGGCACCGGGCCAACACCGCCAGGGTCAAGGAACAAAGGGTATCGCGAGGCTCGGGCCTACAGACCATCATCACCGTGCGCACCTTCGCAGAGCCGCTACACCATCGCCGTATAACCATGGAGGTAAGCCCATCTTTTCCTCGTCCACTCCGCCTCTTCTCCCACGTGGTCTCTTGTCGTCTCCGTCTCGCCCTCGCATCGTCCCGTCCCAGCCACGTGTGTGCCTGTGGCGCCGCGACTCTCCATCCTCCAGCCCTATGCGCGTTTGTACCATGGCCTGAGCTCCCCTTCTTGTACCCTCGGCTCCGTGTCAATTGCCTTGGGGCCCGTCACTCTTGTAGAACATCGCCAGTGGGCGCCTGAGTGACCTGTCGCTTTCCATCCAGCCTCGCCTCTTGTACGAGCCGACGGTCCCTCGTGGCTTTCCTCTTCGGGCTGCGTGCTACCCATCGTCGCAGCGTGGCTGCCATCTTCACAGTACCACGCTTCACCGCGCAAATGCCCGTCCGCTGAGCTGATAGTGGAAGCGGCCGCTTTGTAATCCTTTGCCAGTTTTTTTTTTTCTTTCCGGTTCGGCGCTTTCTGCACTCACGATACCCGTTTTGTTGGCGCAACTTGTGTTTTCTTCAGCCATATACCCTGTATAACCACCACTACTTTTACACCACCATGGAGAGCCGTTTCCTTTCCCAGCAACGCTCGGCAGCCGTCGACGCGGCGCGCAATATCACGCGGGAGAGCGGCGGAGAAAAAAACCAGACTTCAGCTAGCTCATCGTTTCTCAAGCCAAGTGCACAGTTAACGATGGATCGCTTCTTACAGGACTTGCCGAACGCCGAACAACCGCCGGTTGACTTTTCGCCCCAGTACCACACGGGTCGCGTGCCCAACAGCAAAGCCGGAGATGGCAAACCCCGACTGCTGCTCATGGGGCAGCGAAGGTAAGTCTTTGTTGAGTGCACTATAGTTTCGAGGCTAACCACGTCACAGGAGTGGAAAGTCGTCGATATCAAGTGTCGTTTTCCACAAGCTCCCACCAAGTGAGACCTTGTACCTAGAGACCACCTACAGGATCAAGAAGGAGTCCATGCAGTAAGTCGCTTCTGGATACTGTATGTTTTTGTTCTGATTGAACAAAATAGCTCCTTCATGGACTTCCAAGTATGGGATCTTCCAGGCCACCTCGACTACTTTGATCCAGCTTTCGATACCGACAACATCTTTGAAGAAATCGGAGCTCTAATCTGGGTCATTGATGCACAAGACGAGTATCTCGATGCCATTGCCCGGCTCAACATGACGATTCTTAACTTGCAACAATCATATCCAAACATCAATGTCGAGGTATTTGTTCACAAAGTCGACGGACTATCAGATGACTTCCGCGGTGACACGTTCCGCGACATCATTCAACGAGTACAAGACGAACTCTCGGATCACGGCTATGAGCAAGCGCCTATATCCTTCTACCAGACATCCATCTACGACCAGTCCATCTTCGAGGCCTTCAGTAAAGTCATTCAAAAGCTCATTCCCCAACTACCCACCCTCGAGGCATTGCTCAACAACCTGTGCGGAGCTTGCAATATCGAGAAGGCCTATCTCTTTGACATCATGAGCAAGATTTACATTGCAACTGACACGAGCCCCACGGATATCGGCAGCTACGAGATCTGCTCTGACTACATCGACGTGGTCATTGATGTCAGCGAGATTTATGGCTGGGACCGGCCGGATGATGGAGACAATGAAAGCGAGATGGGCAACAACGACGCCGAAAGCTTGATCACCATGGAGAAGAAGAACAGCCGGTACCTCTACCTGCGAGAAATTAACAAGTAAGTCTTAACATGAGTATATTTGACGATTGTGTGTATTGACTCTTGACAGGTATCTCGCGCTAGTGTGCATAATGGGCCAAGACAACCCAGCAGAGAAGAAGGCTCTCATCGACTACAACGTTGGAGTCTTCCAGGCCGGTTTGAAGCAAGTCTTCCCAAAGAGCGACAGAGAGGCACAGGTCGAGATTCGTAACATTCACGACGTTTTGGACCAATGATTCTGACGCTGACGTCTGGACATGAGATGGAAGGTATTGCAGAGTTGCTGTACATATTGGATGGCATTGATTACCACGATGAGCGTTTGACGGGTATGGTTAGGATCGAGGAATGTCGTGTACTTGTATGATAGGAAATACTTGAGAACAGCGCTTAATTGAGGTTGCGCCCCAGACATGTCCATATAAGATGCATTTTTGTCGATTTCGTGTACCCGTATAATTCAAGTCCAAGTTGTAATGAATCTCTCCCCACACAACGTTTGTCGCATAGGAAAAGAGCATTGGCCAAATGACATCAGCCGGGATTCCGGAGCGAACGGCCCAATCATCGGAACCAGGATGTGCGTTACTTCCGACAGACCTACACCACGCATGCAATCTATTTCCTCGGCATTACGCGCGCATTTACCGTTTTCAAGCCTTGCGGACACGTCTTTGTAAAGTTTTGCTAGATTAGCTTTTGGCCTGGGGGAACAAGCATTTCGCTTTTGGACTTGAGCAGCTTGCCATATGTGCAGTGCTGTTCAACAGAGGGTCGGTTGTGAACAGGTATGGTATTTTGTCTACCTGTCTCCCTTTCTTGCGCTTCTAGTTCCAAGACCGCGTAAAAGCTAACAGTGAATTTAAGATTGCGTAGTTAAGATCATCGGTTTTTAACTCCGCGTCTCCCCAGCAGACTTGCGCAAGTCCATAACCCCATCACTATCAACACCCACCACCATGTCCTCGTCGCAGCGGTACCGTCGTCCCGCAAAAGACAATGCGTCCACAGATGCGACCACGTCATCTGCTGGAGTTCCGGATTTGACCGCCGCAAAGGAGAAAGCGGAGCTCAAGCAGGCCGTCAAGGAGCAAGCCGAAGCCACATCAAACGGCCTGTCTGTCCTCGACGTCCTGCGTATCCTAGGCGGCCTTGTACTACTCAGCTGCGGTCTGAGCTATCTCAGCACCAGCGGCGAGAGCATGACCTGGGGCTACAACCCATGGTGGACACGAGCGCGAGAATGGAAGAGTCTAATGGTACGTAACTCCTCGAATCGACCCTCAACGCAAGGAAAAAGGTGCTAATGCCAACTCCTCCACAACAGCAAGGCGAAGTCGTTCTCACCGACGCTGAACTCGCTCTCTACGACGGCTCCGACCCCAAAAAGCCCATCTACCTCGCCCTCAACGGCACAATCTACGACGTGTCCATCTCGCCCACGACCTACGGCCCCGGCGGCTCGTACCACTTCTTCGCCGGCAAAGACGCCGCGCGCGCCTTTCTAACCGGCTGTTTCGCAGAAGACTCGGTCCCGGATCTCCGCGGCGTCGAGCAAATGTACATGCCTGTTGACCCAGAGGAAAAAGCGTCGCTGACGCCGGAAGAGCGCGCCGTCGAGATGGAAAAGGCGGCAAAGAGGAAGAAGCTGAGCAGTGGTGAGCTGAAGAATAGGCATGCGCAGGAGCTGAGGAATGCGAAGAAGCAGGTTGTAGAGGGCTTGGAGGGCTGGCATAAGTTGTTTAGGGGTGATAAGGGGAAGCCGTATCGCAAGGTTGGGTATGTGAAGAGGGAGGAGGGCTGGTTGGACAAGTTGCCAAAGAGGGGGTTGTGCGAGCAGGCGGAGAAGGGGAGGCCGGTGAGGAAGTATGATTAGGGATAAGGGGGAGGTGATAGACTATGGAGAGATGAGAGTAAAGTATTGGTATTCTGCATCTATGAGCTTATCTCGTTCCTTGTGGATTTTTCTCTCTTTGAAGGGTTGTTGATAAACAAATCACATACATCAGTTTCAAGAGCTATAATTCAGATACTACATACTAGTTTCGGCAAAAATATTTGACATTAAGCAGATGTGGCAACTACAACTCAGAGTGAAATGATAAAAAGTAACGTTTGAATACTACGTAGTTGCCTCACATGAAAAACGTTCGTCGAAACCTGTATCCCCCAGAAATACTCCTATTACTAGGACGATTTTCAACATGTCTCCATTCTATCTAAAACCTTTTAACCAGCGAATACCTCGCCCACCCCGACCTGAACAAAAAGAACCCATCAGGGTGAACATGCAATTCACATTCTACCGTCTTGCAGAGGAGCCACAATTGCAAAAAATGCATCGGCCGGGAATCGAACCCGGGGCTAGCCGACGTCGCTCATCAAGAAGATGAATGGCAACGGCTAATTTTACCACTAAACCACCGATGCTGTGTTTGATCGGAATTGAAAACAGACAGGAGCTGCTTGTTTCGATGAGTGAGGAAGTCACTGTGACCTTCATATTTTGAATAGGTATCTTAGTCAAGCTGTCCATATCCATGTGTCGACCTAGTGGAAAAGAGTACCCCACCTCGGCGGCACCATACCTCGAACAGGCCGGGCCAATTATAATTCGGAGAAGCACTGATCGACACATGCCAGACGATACGCTACTGGACATGTTAGTGAGAAAACGATGCTGGTCTTGTTACGAAGAAACATTGCCGCTTCCATGGACTAACAGGTAACGCGGACGTTAATTCTGTTTGTAATATCAGTGATATCACAAATGCAAAATCAAACGAAGCTTGTTATCGTCGATTGATAAAATCCAACCTAACTTCATCAATGTCGTGATAACACTAAGCCACGATCACGCAAGAATGCCAAGATGTTTCCGTGATCGCAGTTGTCGCTAATTCGAGTTGTCCTACACCCTATAGCATGTTATTACAACTGTATATCAAGATTCAAATGTATTGGCGAGCTCACCCCAATAGCTTTGCGAGTTTCACGAACTTCATCTACCAGCATCTCAATATTCTTGCTCAGATCCCAGGCTGTCTACGAAATCTTGGTCTACAGCGGCGTTTATACAGTTGCTGCCTTTTTCGACGAGTGACTTGTTGAGTCGTGCTGTATTTCTGACAACCATTCGAACTTTCTTCATCAGGTCCTCTAGGTGAGATGTATTCTTGTCCGGTTCGCATGCGACAGTAAGAGCCAGGACAAGAGCCAGGATCGAACAGATCGTTCTAAACATTGCAAAGCCTTGTGGGAACCAGAGAGTGAAAGACTGGTCCATGATTGTCGGAGAAAATCAGGAGAGAAGCCAAGTTAGGTACGGGATTCAGAAACATAAAGTGCCTGGTGACTGGGAACGTGAAAAACTGAGATGCCAAAGGAGGCAGAGAAGAGAAAATGAGGCGGGCGATAGCTCTCAGGTGTTCTCCTCAGCTACTCAGGTCCTGCTTTCCTCTTCATTGTCCTCTTTAAACCCGATTGGATGTCGAGTGAAATAGCCGTGGTGCTGTGGAGCATGGGCACTCTCGGTCTAGCAAGAGCGTTTTGGTTCAAGTTTGACCAGGTGCGTAATGCACTCAGACCAGTAAAAGCGTCGTGGTCGAAGCTCGTCTAGGTGCTGATGCTCGAGCAATTCGACAAGACGATTCAGCTTCAGAACTGATCGATTGCCGTGGTTTTGTTAAAGATAGCACCACATAGATGAATCCGCGCCGTCGCAGGCGTCAAAGAGAGTAGATAGTAGAGGTGGATTGAGTTGGGTGGGTAGTCCTCCGTGCCTGCTATACAACCCTCTCGCGCTAACCCCATTGGGGGCAAACAATGGACATCACGGACACCCATGGTGCCTTCCAGCAGGAGATACGTATGCCGCTGAATTCCATGTCGAGTCTTCGAGTGACATCGTTGTATTTGGCCGGAGAGCGCATGCCGCTAGGAATTGTGCGGAGACGCGGTATGTATCGTTGGATCAAGAATGAGGATCAGGGAGTGAGGAAAGGAATAGTGTATGTGATGGCTAGTGGTGAGGCTATTAAATTATACGATGCATAGTTATTCATGATCGCAATTTTGAAGAGGTCTTGCGTCCAGTTGGCAATGCTGGCCTTGTTCCCGCACTCGGTGCGGCATTGTCTAACAAGACCGGAAGCCTTTGTTGAAGAAGGCATGGATACGCAAGATACACCGTATACTACAAGATGAGAGATTGTATTACGAATATCATAATTCATCAGGACGCTGTATCTGCCACAGGTTTGTTGAATAAGCGATCCATCGCCAGGCCAAGTGTATCCGCCACAAGAGTACCACGAGCTTTGAAGACGCCTTTTGGGAATCTGATAGTAGTATTGTATGATTGAAGATATGAGAAATAGATGGCGGACATGTATGCTTATATGTGTTTGTATCTGTTAAAGAAGCCGTGTATCTAACATATTGCAAACGTATTCAAACGTGGGTTACTCTGGACTTTAGTTGGTTAGGGCTTGTGTGGAGAAGAGTCACTTTGTGTTAACATGTTTTTGTCAACTAGATGCTGACACTTGGAGTGCTAATTTTTGGAGAAGATAGTTGTTGAGTTAAAGAGAAAGTTCATGGCTGACTTGTTTACATACCCCAGAACTTACATTCTCACACAATTTTTTATATAGCTATAATTTCCACAGCCATCTGATATTTTCTGTGTTATTAGCATGTGATTGTGTGATTGTGATAGCAGGGATTGAGGATGGTGCACATGAAAAGTTGCGGAATTGTATGATGTAGTGTATTACAGCCAACGTGCGTGTGTCACGGGTGTAACGTCACCGAGACAGGAGGCCAAAGAAAGGTTTCATTGGAGCTTGTTAGGATTGGCGATTGTCTTCCACTCAGCACTATCCTGTCCAATTCTAGCCGGATGCTGAGTGGCAATATGTGTAGCCGTATCTATGACGCGTAAGGATACGCTTTACCGAACTGATTACCGAATTCTGAAGTGAGACATGATGCCATCGATGAGTGGAGCTATGTGCCGCGGGACAACGGTGTCTTAGACATAGTTCGGTTAAGGATGTTGGAAGTGGCCCATGTGGCTTCTCAACACCATGCACAAGATGGTTTTTTACATTCCAGCTTGGTCCAGAGGAAGTGGTTCCATGATTTCATGACCGGTGTTTGGTTTCGATTAAATAGTATTCCGGGGAGCCATTCAACAGTCATGGTGCTGCTCCGCGGGTAGTCTCTAATGATTGAGGTTGATAGAGAAGTGTTTACTATGTATATATGACAGCGTGAGAGCAGAAACGATGCAAGGTCGTTGTTCTAGTTCGGTCTAGATTCTGCGAGTTCAGTGTCTTACTTTGTACATTAGGATGTCATCTAAATCCCGGACATGACGCACAGTGGGGAGCGTTACTGAAAAAATCCCTCCCACGTGGCTGCCGCATAAGGCAACATATTCCCCATTTCGATGCCGCCATCGAATCAGGGACCGAGATATGTAGATGGGCTGCAATGCGCATGTATGTTTACGCGTCCAGATGCATTCTATTCTGACTTTTTCTTTGATCCATACTGCGTTCTGATTGGAGACATTATGCTCTCAACAGAAATATTCCGGTGTCGTGGGTGACGCGGACACGGCTTCTAGACCGCAAGAATGTCTCGGATGTTGCAGTTGACCATGCCAAGCGAGTGCACATCAGAAATTCACAAATGTTGGATATTGAGGTTTTGGAAGACTAAATCTACTAGTGTAGTTATTGTTCAATGCGTCCCTTGCATGGTATGACCTGTGTATGGATAATATGAATTTCTGTTCTCATGCACTTGTGAATATCAGTCTTTATACCCACCGCGACATCTTATATAACCGAACCTTAAAAACGAACAGTTGGTCGACATGCAGTACTGACCAAGGAGAAGAGTGGGCCGGGGTTAGGCGAGCGAGACCACGGACCTGGCCGCACAAGTCAGTTCAGCTTGACGGATGGTGGAATAAATTCCCCCTTGCGCAGAACCAGCAACTATGTACAGACACACACATGTATTCCTATGGGGCCGTAAAACGTGGGGCTGGCTGACACTGACATGGGACTGCATTTCGCATAGCTGTCCGTACGTACATACAGATGTAGCCTTTGGGCTAGACCATGCGTTGTAGTGGGTCTTGACTGCAGAATCTTGTCCAATGTGGATTCAGTATTTTCTTTTTCGCGTACGTGTGTCGAAACACAGAAAAAAACTAAAAAAGTCGGGGCGCCGATGATGCCAGCGTCTTTTTGAAGAGTATATAGCAGCTGTAATTGACAACAGTTTTCAATGTTTCCTAAATAGGAGCCTTGGCGCAATGGTAGCGCGTTGGTTTTCGGCTTCTAGGTCTGATACACCAAAGGTTGTGGGTTCGGTAAGCATTTTCACCTGGACACCGCACTTTCGATCCATGTTACTAACAGATTCAACGCAGATCCCCATGGGCTTCGCATTCTCTTTTTTGATAATTTTTTTGTTTTTATTCCCAGCTGCCGTTTGATGTGCCTTGTGATTCACGATTCTACGTTGTAATTCACGATTCTCACTTGGTGCACGTTTGGGCACTAGCTTTTTTGTTGGTCCTCATGTTTTGTGTGGGCGTACCTGCCTCTTACTTTTTCAATGACAACGGCACAATGTGGGCTACTACTCGGTTCCGACCAGCCTTGAAACACGTCACGGCGATTATACGCGACATGGTCAGGTTGCAAACTTAGTCGCCGTTCCAAAAACGACCGACTGCTTAAGAGGGGTGATAAGGACAATGGGGACGGCTGATCTGCAAAAAGAATCATAATAATAGCAGAGCTAAGAAGCGCGAGCCCCACTCCGAGTTTGCGATGTGCCGCGTTTCAGATCGATGGCGCGGGCGCGACTAGGTACAGTATCTGCTGTTGGGACGATGCCGAGCTGGAAAGCCGGTTGTCCAAAGGGCCTAGAGTGCTTGTCACGCGTCATTCAGCGGTGGTTAGCTGTGATACACACACATGGGCCTCGTAGATCACGAAGCGCCATCCATGATGCGACGTCTGAAACGACTTGTACCAAAACTATGGGTATGGACATGGTCGTAGCTCAATGCTTGATCTGTGGTGGCTTTTCAACATTGCGGGGATGACGTCTTGTTGGGTAATGGTAGAGAGTCAGGGTCACGAAAGAAGGCGTCGGGAGCGGGACGGTACCCCACTGAATCGGATTGTCAGAGGCGTAGGAGTTGTGTAGGTGTGTTTGAAAAGGGCAATGCTAAGAGGAGGAATCTGCGTCATTTCTGACCACACTGCCTAGTGCAACAGCTGAAGTTTGCAGAATTGTCGGTTAGGGACATTTGTTGGTGCTGATTGGACGACCTGCTGTACGGCGTTGTTTCTAAGACGAATAAGCGGCCAGACTGGTTCGAACAACTCACGTTGCTG